TCCAGGGTGAGCAGGTTGATCGACTGTGATCGTCGTAGTAGTTTGGAACAGGTACTCCAAAGTAAGGCCTCGGTGCGAGTGCGAAAGCCTTCCCATGTCACGAATCTGCCGTGAGCGAACGGTCGGAGCAGCCAGTTGGTGAGGCCCCCATGAATAACCTGAACCAGGCGAACGTCACGAATATCCATGCCTGACATGTCGCGCAGGTTGCCATGCGGAGTGTTGGCAACGGTCATGGGCAGGCTGAAGTTGTAGAGCTGATTGACATCAAACATGCCCTCTCCAGGTGTCCAGTCAGGCGATGGTGTAAGCCAGGCTTTCTGAGGACGAACCGGTAGAGCCGCAGGAGGTCCAGGTGGCGGTGTAGGTTGCGGGGTAGTGACCGGTGGTGGCATCACGGGTGGCATGAACTTCGTTGGCGTGGGGTCTGGAGGGATCGGCATCATGTAGTTGATTGCTGGATGTTGGAATTGCTGTGTGGGACTATGAGTCGATTGAAAATTGGTGGGCATCATCGGGAAATTGTTGGCAGAGTTGTAGCCGGAATTGTGTTGCCAAGATACCAGGTTGTTCCAATCCATGCCTTCCGAGACGTGGTGGTCATTGTGTTCACGTCGGTGTGCTTTACGAGCCTGAGGAGAAGTACTCCGATCACGTCTGCGCCGAGTCCTGGATCTATCACGATCATCACGTCGAGACATGGTTACACAATCGACTCTCAATCTTCACGCTTCCATCTTGAGAGACACGTATCAGACAACAAGCAAATCCATGCAACGGCAAGGTATCAACGAATCCAACAAATGGCAAGCAAACGCAAACATCAGTGGTGAGACGTCTCTATGATCTGACCGCTGTCTTCCCTTTAGTGAAACCTCGTTCCTGGTTAAATGTGAAATTCCGCTGTTCTATGATAAGCACGTTGAGGTCAAATTTTCCGACAGAGCCGGCCCGGGGTCACACAATGGGTACACCCGAGGATTCCCCACGAATGGGGTGTACACACTTAAACTCCAAATGGAGAGTGCTAATCTTTCGAGTACAACTGATGAGTCTCGAGTACAACTGATAAGTCTCGAGTATGATGAGGTTCGACTCGCATAACGCTTGGCTTCCCTGTAGTTACTTTAACAGGGACACACAGAAGCAACGGCAGTTCAGGGGGGGACCAAAAGGACATTCAGAACAACACAACCATCTCGGCAGGTACGTCTGACTGATCAGGTCAGATATCAGCGCAGGTCACGACCCTCTTCGTTGGGTCACCGGTCGTGACTGCGGGTGACCCCCCTGCTGAGAAACCGAAAGGGTGGTGACAGGGCATTCTGTCACTCCGCACACACACACACACACACACACACACACACACACACACACACACACACACACACACACACACACACACACACACACACACACACACACACACACACACACACACACACACACCACACACACACACACACGACACACACACACACACACACACACACACACACACACACACACACACACACACACACACACACACACACACACACACACACACACACACACACACACACACACACACTCACACACACACACACACACACACACACACACACACACACACACACACACACACACACACACACACACACACACACACACACACACACACACACACACACACACACACACACACACACACACACACACACACACACACACACACACACACACACACACACACACACACACGCCAACCCCCACCCCCACACCCCCACACACACACACACATGCACACGCACACGCACACGCACTCACAGACATAGAGCAACACACACACACATACACACACACACACACACACACGAGCGCTCACAAAAACGCACGCAGCTCGGCACAGCACAGCGCAGCACAGCACAGCGCAGCACAGCACACAGCAAACAACACACAACTCGCAACACACACAACACAGGCTCAGGCCTGCATATAATACTCAAATTGGGAATCAAAGACACCTCTTAGTGTACTAATCCTTGCTTTCTGATAGCATTATTTGCATCTCAGTGGGGAACACGCCATTCTACTACAATAAGGGAAGCACACACACACACGAAACTTTTACTGTGGAAAGGGCTCCCCTTCTATCACGACGTGTGGAAAACAAACTGGCCCAGTCGGTCTGACCAACACAGCACGGGCGCGTTGCCTGTGTCAATGACATACTTAATGCCGTCCACTGTGAGCGAAGTCTCGGCAATGTTAGTGGCCTCAGAGGAACCCAGACACCCATATATGTCTAAAATGATGTCCACTTGCCCAAAATCACTGCCTCCTGGGAAATATGGGGGTAGATACACCTAATCGCACTGAACGCCTTGTCTTTTGGGGGCAAACATGTGCACTGTTGCTGGAAAATACTTTTGGAGGATACTCTTTTGTGTTTGGTTGCGAAAGGGGTGCAAAAAAAAGAACTGCCGGTACTTGCGTTCCTCAGTTTTTAGACAAACTAAGAGAAACCAGATTCCGACCCTTTACTGTTACAAACGTGGCACTCCCCTCCGACATGTCCCTGTGCCGGAAACAACAAAACTCACCTTAGGCGAAATTGCAGGTACGGGGGGTTTGGATCCCCTTAAAACTTAGGGGGTGGGGTTGGAAGCCCCATTCTACAACATAAACTTGCAGTTTGCGAGACATTTCAAGGGGAATGGTTTTGGAAGGCAAGCAAAGTCCAAACTTCTGTGTACCACTAAAATTGCCCAAGACCAAAAAGTTTAAAGTCCGAAACGGAACTCAGGAAGTGAGTTGGTCCACTTCAACACACACGTGGCACAGCGACATGGCGGTTTGCTGGTTAAAGGGACTCAAAAGGACCCAAACGCACTTGTGAGAACTCCTGAACATGAACCCAATGTCGTCGACCTGCTTAGGTCTCATAGACAAACGAGAGCATATGTCCAGTGCTAGGTTCCCTTTAAAACCAGGGGAAATCATATCTAACAAATAAGCCAATGGAACGAGAAACAAATTGGGACTCTGAACTTCACGAGTTGCTCTTTCTCGCAACGTGACCGACTGGCTCAGAGGTGTCGGGCGGCTTTGCACCAACCCAAGACACCGCTAGACGAGCTGCACGGCCCAATGTATTTGGATGTAGAGCCACAAGGGGGGCCATTGCAAACTACACAGGGATCCTTACATTATACACCTGAACATTGCCTTGTAAATGGTGGTTTCCCTTTACTTTGGTGGGAAAAGCCATGTTACAAATGGTTGCAAAATGGAGATCTTTTAAGGCTCTAGTCAGCTGAGATTTGGTCCGGCAATGCATCCTTCCCCGGACAGCCCACACTCCCGTGGCTCCCCTGTGGCCCTACTTCCACGCGGAAGTGGATGATTGAAACAGGCGAAACCCAGTAATCCGAAAAAAAATGGATCTCATAACTCAAAACTCACAACATATATATATATATATATGGATAGCCATTTTTTGCCTTGCGCATAGTGTGGATGTCAGCAAATACTTTGGAGCTATGTGGGTCTTTCGGCCTGGACTCCTATTCACAAAGGGATGGGTCGCGGTTGCTTTGGGGAAAAGGCCACGGCTGAAGAGCCGACCCCGGGCGACGGCAGAATTGAGTGCCGAAAAGCAGCCCGAGCCCCGTGCTATATACCAACAGAGGGCGCCCTTTGCAGGTTTATTCCTATGGAGACCTTGGAAAATCACCAAGTGGGAAGGGGGGGGGGGTCCCCCGATTTTGCCAAACCTTGTTTAAATACAACCCCCCTCATGCAACCAGGTGGAAGCACCTAACATAGCCAACAACCAAGCTCACTTTCAGCCTCAGGCGCTGCTTTCTCATGTGCCACCTCTTTAAACTTCTGCGCGCCCTTTGGGTTTCAGCCAACCCCTGGCTTTGGTTCTCCGTTAAAGGGCGCCATTGGCTGCCTGAACCACTTGTGCCCAACCCAAATGAATCACGGAGTTCCGGAGCCGAAAATCTGAATTCGACGATGTTCGAGGCAGCTCTAAGACTTCGCCGCGAAAAGGACCCGACAAGAAACAAGAACGGGTTTGTGTCTTTGGGCGAATCCCCAAAAGTGGCTCCCCTTTGGCGCCCCAACAAAAAAAACAACCCCAAAAAGCGACCCTCGGAAAGACCCAGTCCTTGCGAAGCCCCCGGTCCCAAACAGGACTTCTCTAGAAGGATTTCCAGCCCCAAGATCTTGGGCCTTGTTTGAACTGATTTGCCGAAGTCATTCCCATTAAACGCTGGGGTATGGACATTTTGGTGGTGAAATCTTTGGCAAAGTCCGAGCTTTACCTCTATGACTCTGAAAGAGTACATGGAGAGAGCACCTACCTCTATGACTCTAAAAAGAGCACGATGAGCAATCAAAACCCTGGTATCAGAATAGTCTACCCAAAACCAACAGATATCCTCAAGGGCAAATGTCCTTCTTTTATTTATGGTCGGAACTATGTCTTCAACCCTTCCTCTACCAGGGTTTCGATTGTGAGCAGTTCACTGCCGGGGCTGGGTGTCTCCTTCTGAGCTGCAGCTTTCAACAGCAGAGAAATGTAATCGGGGAGTACAACACCTACGCAAGCGCGGTTCTGCGAAAGTAAATGGCACAGGATTCGCACATATGGTTTGGTACCTCTAACTGTAGAACATTGTGGGACGCAAGTGCCATCTACGTTCACCCTTTCACACCCCCTATTCAAACTCCTGTTCACAGTACTGACAAGTACTGCAGCAGGCTGTGCCTACGGCACACTAAAACACCTGTGGCACGCGGCCGCCCAAGCTTTTTTTTTCCAAAGGGTTCTAGAACGGTGCACAAGCAGCCTATATTGCCCTATGTGGACATCACCCCACCAAAAGCACACTTTAAAGTGGCCCGAAAGGTGATATTAGAATTTTAGAAAAGGGAAATATAGAGAGCCCTGAGTGCCTCCAACAAGTGGCCTAAACCGTGAGGCGACCGTGCTCTAAGGTGTTGGCTCATGGCCGATCCGAAGCAGACGCATTACCAGCTGACTCTGCTGCCTTGGCGGCCGCCTTTGCTGCCACCTTCGCCGCTGCCTTGGCCGCTTGCTTGCTTGCCTTCTGCAAGCGGTTCCTGCGGGCATGCATCTCCTCCAAGGTGCAAATGTGACACCTGTCACCTCGGTTGCTGAATCTGCTCCCCTGCTAAAAGTGAATAAGAGTGAATTACCTTTAGTGGCTGAATATTTACGGCAAAACCCATTTGGTAAAAAGTTAAGGTCCCAACATCCCTTGGCAAAATGCAACAAAGTCACATTGCGAGCCTTTCCAACACCCATCCACCCTGGCGCGGAAGAAGAAACAGGGCTGGCACGTCCCCGCTTGGTGCCTGGTAAGTGGCGACTCCTGGTTCCACGGCTGCGACCAAGCGCGGAGTGCAGGGGCGGACGTACTCTGAAGGAGTTCTGGGAGCACCGTGGCATCCTTCGGGAGATCCGCGGGCCACGGCTCCACCTGGACAGGGCCAAAAACCCCTGGCACTTTTTTTTGTTCTGGCTGCTCATGAGCCATCGTTTTTCTTTGTTTGTTGTTGTTTTTGGTGCTGGCTCATGATGGCTCAGGCAACCAATGGAAATCCAGTTCCACAAATTAAAGAAACAAACGACACGAGCACAAGATACTGACTGCTGCTTTTGCCGCGTTCACAGAGGAGTTCTTGACCGCAACTGCGAGAAGCTGGCCCTCTACCTCCAGGGATGACAGAATGCTCCCATTGGCCCAGGTCATGGCTTCCACGTGTCACGCAGCTTGGGCCAGTACTGCAGCTACAGTGGCAGCGGGCTTGACTGAGGTTCTGGAGTCACATTTCCCTTGGCAGGGACGCTTGCACTGGGCCCTGGGTGCCTGGGTGTCTAAATTCCTAGACGGTGCTTTGACAATGGCACAAATCCCGCCTGTCGTCTCTCACTCCAAAACTAGAAATAAGGGATCCCCTTGTCAAGAACCGTCATCGGTGAGATTGTTTTACGCGCAGCTTGCTGCAACTAGAAAAGCAAGCATGCAAAATTGCATGTGCGGTTCCTTTAAAGCAGAATCCTCCAAGGACCTGCAAGTTTGCCAGCTCCATGTTGCGTGACTATCGAATCGATGTCATCTGCCGCCAGGCGAACACATCGCCTTGTGCCCTGCGGAGTCAAACCCTAAGAGAGGGACCTTGAACATTGGGCCAGGCTCACACACCACAACCCTTTGACTTGGTTGACGTTGGAAGGGGTGCAGCAATTTAAACTTTATCAGTTAAGTGGGGATTTCCCACTAAACCAGAACAAGCAAAACGTAAAATGTTTCCCAACAACAACCCTTTGAAGTTGCGTGTTCATTTGCCCGGATCCCCCAATCTGTCTGAGGAAGGATCCCTTTCTCGTACACACCCTTTCCACACCTCAAGAACCGCGCGGATCCATTGCCAAGGCGCAACAATGATCTTCCGCTTATCGCTGCTTTCAAAGATCTTGGCCTCCCATGCTTGTCAAGTCTCAAACATTCTCACACGGATCAGGTGCACCTTACTTTGTGGTTGAGGGGGTGACTGTCAGTTCCTGCCGAAGCAAATGTGGAAGATACCCCCAAACGTCCCAAGCACCAATCAGGGGCAAAGTGAACCAACGCGCAACCACCAGTGCACGAAGAACACAAAGCATGGCTCACTTGCCGCTCTGGGAAACGGACGGCCATATCCCGCCTTCCCAGGTCATTCATGAAAATGAGGCTTAAGTAGCAATCAGTTAGCATACCCACCCAAGAGTGGAGTTCGGAGGTTGTTTCACGCTTGGTGCCATGTGCGAGCTAGTAACTCATCATGCACGTTTGCCCTTTGAATGCAGGAAGCACCGCCACCTTGAGGATGTTTACAGGAGGACTTTCGGGAGGGGCAGCACAGCCAGTCGTGCAGGGCGTCCCGAGTTGGCCTACCCTCACTTCCTGAGTGGACTGGCCAACGACAAGTCCAAACCTTTTGTTTACCACTAAAATGACCTTCCCAAAAAGACTAAAGTCCATGAACTCAGGAAGTGAGTACCCCAAATGTGTTCAAAAAGCAACCTGGCAGATTCATATGTCTGACAAGTTGGGTTACTAGCCCCGTGGGTTCAACATGAATGATGATATGTTGCTGTACTTGCTTGTTTGCAATATTATTCTCTACTGCCCTTGAAATATCCCTGTCTTACTGTATGTGTCCTGCGCTTCTTCCCTTCCATTCATTTCACCTTTTCTCATGGGGGCTGGGGGGGAGGGAGGGGGGGGGGGGGGGGAGCCCCAATAAGTCTCAAATAAGGCCTTATTAGGGGCGTAATAAGGGCTTTTTTGGGCTCCCTCCCCCTCCCCTCCCTCCCCCCCAGCCCCCATGATTTTCTGCTTGTTCATTCCCTTCAGCATCATTATTGTTCTTGACTCCTCTTCATGCCTTTGTCTTGTCCTCCTTTCGGCCTTTGCGTCATCCTTTTCTGTCTTCCTTTCTGCCAGTCCTTTCTTTCCCAAAATTCCTGCCTTGCCTTGCTTCATGCCTGGATGCCTCTTCCTTCTCCTTCCCCAAGAGTCCCTTGCCTTCCCTTAAATTCATTCCCCTCCACGCCTTCCCTTCTCTATCCCTTCAAGTAGAAATTGTGGCCTGGCGGCTTCATGGGCTTCATTGAAGATTCTTCCCAACGAGTGGTAGAACATCAGTCCTGCGATGCTCGAAACGTATCTGGGTAAAATATTGGAACCCACAAACCAAGAAAATAAGGGATCCCCATGAAAGAAACCTTCATAGACGTCGCAGCCCCCCGGAACGTCATGCTATCTGACCAGACTCAAATGGGTCCAAACCGATGCCAGAAGTACAAAGGCGACTCGGGAATCGGGAAGTGAGATTCCGAGTCAGTGGCCCTCCCATCGACTCCGTGCGAAGCGAATCTGATGGCCTGCAGGTCTGACGGCAGCTGGGAGTAGATGGGCAGGATGGTTACTGGAGGCACCTCCTCCCCCACCTGACGGATTTCTGCGGAGCTCGCACCCAACATCTTCAAATTTCAAGCTTGATTGCTGTTGATCCCCTTGCAAAAAGCTTCACTTTTTCGGGGTTTAGTGGAAACCCCCTTGATTTACCAAAAAGTTAGTGTCTAAAGATTCAACCCAATAGCAGTCAAGCAAGGGCAAGCACAAGGAAAACCACCCCAAAGCGTGGCGTGGTGGCACCCTTTTTCACCTTTCAATCTGGGCAACAAAAAGAAAAAGCCACCTGAATGAGGTGGTGGGGGTGTGGGTGGTTGTGTCCTTCTGCACCGTTTTCAAAAAAAAACTTGACATTTTAAGGGGCAACCAAAAGGACAACCAGCATCCACGTTCGGGGGGGGGGTAGCTGGACACAAAGCCAAACTTGTGTGTTTCCCAACGAACGGCTGGCTTCCTTGTCGCGGAAACAACTGGCTGGGCTTGATCTGTGGACCTAGAAGATCCAGGTGCCTGGGCTTTGGATTAAAAAAAAGACGCCTTTGCTGGGTGTCACCTTTTTTGTGCGGGAAACAACATGGACAAAGGGTGCCACTGAACACCTCCCATTGATAAGAGACAAACAAGTTGGGCAAATAAACGGGCGATCTGAAAATTGGCTTCTGATTGCATTTCAAGGCTTCAAGGGAGTCTTCAACAGAGTTTTCAAGGGAGCCTTGGAATATGCAACAAATGACTCAATAATTCACGTCACATGCACAAAACTACTTGTTTGCTGCGGAAAAGGGGTGCCCCACATGATCTTGACATGGCACTGTGACCCAAAAGGACACCCAAATCGACCAAAGGTCTTGGCAAGCTTTAAGCTTGCGCGCTAGCAGTGCGCAACGGTGCTTTGCTTTTCTGACATGAAGGGGGCCTGGAACTGTGCTTTGCTGACATCTTTGCATTACTTAGCTTCCAGAAGTTGCAAAATCTTGAGTCACGCTAGTCATGCTCTGACAATGCACACCTTTTCAACCCCGAGGGCCGATGCGAGCTATTCGATGGGCGAACAGATTGGTGCAAATAATTTCAAATTCAGCCCGGCGAAAGTGCCACACTCACTTCCTGAGTGGGATGACCCAAAAAAGCTGTGCTTTCCAGCGAAGTGATCCACTCTCCCACATACCATACCTGTAGCAAACCAACCAGCCAGGCCAGCCAGCCAGGCAACCTGCAAAAAGACCTTGTTCCCCTAGTACTTGGGCACCCCAATGTTGGGAGGGCAGCCCCAAGGCTTAACAGGATATTGATCTGGGTACCTTGCTCAGTGGTCTCGTGGTTTGAGGCTATGAGTACCAAGCTTGCCTCAAAAGGGCCTCCCCTTCGCACAAGAACGGCACGTGCACCAAGCTTTCCACCACCACTCCCCTGCATTAAGGGAAGAGGTTGGGGGGAAGGCCCATGGCCTCCGTTTTGTTTCATTGAAACTGACCAGAAAAGGGTATGGGTCAAATTTCAATCACCAGAGGACACAGGTTTTAGCCCATGTTTCCATTTACCAGGGTTCCAGATTGGACACCTATTTTTGACCCACACCCAAAAGGGTCCCCCAAAAAAGAAACTACAACCAGAGTTGTCCACGCGAAGTGAGTGGGGGATACTCCTCGGCACGACCCGCAAGTCTCGAGCTGTCGGATTGAGTGGCCTCTTCTGGGCCGATTTCAAAGCCACTTGCTCAAGGCGCCGGGAAAAACAAAAAAGCTTCTAGCTCCCAGCTTCAGGACAAGACTGGCTGGTCAAATATGTGACCGTGAAGTCCCGTGATCTGTGAATAACTTCGTCAAAGGAAGGCGCCTGGAGCAAAGGAACCGAAAATCACTTGCTCCATGGACCCGGATCTCAAAGGAGATGCTTGGGGCTACCAGGACTGACAAAATCTAGTTTCAACTAGGCCAAAACGGGCCAAACTGCCGGATCCCTGTGGGCAAATGAGCAAAATCACCAGAAACGAATGGAGCTGGCAGCCAAACGGCGACCCACTGCCAGTGAATTCATCACCAAAATCGCTCATGGCGGGAATGTCGCCAAGCCGACGCACGCCGGACATTCTCGTCGATTGCCTTTACAATCGTAACATCTGACGGTGCAGGAAAACATGTGGCCAGCGGAAACACTTCCTTGCCCAGCCGGGGCAATGGAAACAAATACTCGGCCCAAGAAGTGCTTTGGGTGAGTCCATACAGGAACCCGCCCTAGTTGCATTCACATACCCTCACTTCCGATCGAGTGGATTGGCCCAAAGTCCAACCATTTGTATCTTCACCACAAGAATGGTTCAAACCCAAGGAAGCTTATAAAGTCCAGAAGTTTTCGGGGAGTGCGTGCTATGATTCTTTCAAACATGATGAGCTAAGGAAAGCCAATTGCTGGGCACCTGGAAGACGCTCGAGTTGTTTTGCCGCGCTTCTCATGGCAAAAATGGCGCTGGAGACCGATGCTCCGAGCCGGGCTTTGAAGTTGACTCGATCAGCCTGGGCGCGTGTTCAACCAGCTTCTTTGGTTTGTTGAGCGCTCTGCCAAACAAAACTTCACAACCCTTGCTATGGTAGCAAAACACGTTGTTTTCTGCAGCCCCGAGCCAACAATGAACAGAACCAAAAACAAACACAACAACTTGCCAAGAACAGCGAAGGGAAATATTTACCCAGGCGGGTGCACATAAGTGTTTCATCAATCAAATGCGTTTAAAGATCCATGTCCAATCACTCAAATGGCGTCCAGGCAGCTTCGGGATCTCTGTCGTCTTCATCGGCTCTGGAATTTCGGTCGTCTCTGGCTCTGGGATGAGCGTGGTGGATTGCATCTCCGAACAGGAAATGTTGGCGTAAATCCCGGAGCCACAAAAGCGACACTGCGGATTCACCTGAGCACTAGGCCATTGCCGTGTGGTGAGGGCTTCTCTGAAAGGCGGACCCCCGTTTGGTTTGTAGCTGAATGGAAACCAACACGAAACCAATCATATTTTTCGGGAATTCCAGGGAGCACATGAGTGGGAAAAGCACACTAATCAGGCAAAACCAATGCGGCCGGAGTGTGGGTATGCTGAAACAGGCGAATGCCAGGCTATACTTCGAAAAAGTGCGAATGTATGTTTGCGCCGGAATGCGACGTCGTTATAAGTTGCCCAGCATTTCGCCCCCCGAAAACCACATGTTGTTTCATGTTGCATCAGAAGCGCAAAAAGCACGCCAGCCTGTGATTCGGACACCCAAAACCCAATAGGTCAGCTTCGCTTGGAGGTTGGCTTCCGCTTGGGGTCTCTCAACAAAAAGGCCATGGTAGCTCCTTAGGTTGATGTTTTTGGGAATTTGGATACCCCTCGGTTCCTTGCCTCCACTCTAACCTGCCATAGCAAAGCTTCCAACTAGATGTCCAACCGAAAATCAGCCTTTCCAGACAAGCACAGGATCAACATTCCTTCCAGCTAGCACCAGGCTAACGTGAAAGCTCTCAAGACCATTTGGGAGGAGAGGATGTTGTTCTGTTGGGCACCCGGTGGCTTCCACGTTGGTCTGAGGGACGGTACTGTATTGATCCTTAAGCCCAGGTGGGGTCATATTGGAGGTAAGCCGCCAAAATGAGACAAGGGGAACCAGCTCAAACAGCTGGGTCGACTCGCCTTAGGGTTGCTATTCATTGGCTTGGTTTCACCCTAAGAATGTGATAAAATGGGATGGGGAAGTCCCGTAACAAAGTTCTTGAAGCGATTTGTCTGATGTGTTTTCTCCGAGCTCCATCAGCTCTAACAGAAGGACATGCTGCGAATGTTTGGCACCTGGTTTCCGACGGGCGTTCTTGTTACCAGCTGCTTACTTATCTTCCCAACACCTGGTAACTTAGCAACTCCTTCTCATCTGCAGGCCTCCCCTTAACAAAGACGCAGCCAACATAAAACCACTAAAGTGTGCAAATGAAAAATATGCACCCCCCCTAAAATTCGCGCGTGCTGCTTATGCAAGGGAAGTCAGGTCGTCTTAGTTATCAGAAGTGGGCCATGTTCACGATGTTGGCAGGCTTGCGCAAATGATTCATTCAGACTTTGCCACCCATACACAAAAAATATATTTGCGTTTAGATTCTTGCAGGTTGCCTGAGTGGTCTGTATCATTAATCCTCTTGAGCCAGATTCAACCATTTCATACATATGTAGGCCATAAACTAAAGCTACTTCAACACAAGTTCATTTAAGTATAGTTTCAGAAGCAATCTTAGGATGCAAACAAGACATTAGGCAAAATGCACACATGCCACAGCGTCTAAACCATAATATGTCCTGCATACATCACTGATGTGTTCAAAGACATTGTCAGCCAATGGAAGTCGTGATGTTATCTCATGTTCTTAGTGTTAAAGTGTGTCCACATTAACTGTGTTTTTCATAGTCTTCATCACTGATACCATCCTCACTCAATCTTCAAGATCTAGAGTCCTGGGAATCTTGAATATTGCACCTTAGATCCAAAAGTGCTTTAAAGCGCTATGAAGTCTTTTTTGGGCGGATACAGCCACACTCAAATGCGTAGATGCGGGCACGGGCACAAATGGTTGCCCAAATGCGGGATGTGCGGGATGCCTGAAAGGGGGGGTGGACATCAGCAAAAAGTACGATAAATACCGTGAAACTCCCTTGGAGCGTGCTTATATATATATATATACATCACTTGCTGAGTGGATGGCCCAAAAAAAAGTCCAAACTTTGTATTTACCTCTAAAATGGTCTTCCCAAAAAGTCTAAACTTCATGAACTCAGGAAGTGAGATATAAATATATATCTATATACATACATACATGGTTTCTTCCACATATGTGACCTCCGCTCAACCTGGAAGCACCCTGGGCTCCCATCCAGCTCCACCTCCCGCCGTGGCACGCCGTCGGCCCAGCAGCCCAGCAAGCCCCACCTCAGCGCTCTCGATGCCGTCACTTCACGCTCGGCAAATTGATGACCCCGTTTTCTTTCAATGCACACACAAATGTATGTACAAATGGATATTTTTATTTATATAATTAAAAACAACTCATACATCTTACAAACACACACACACCAGAAACAAACAATGAACAATCCAACACCCCAAGTTGATTGGTCAACGATGACAATGATTCAGCGAGCAAAAAATGATGAAGGCCAAGGAACCTTCATCATAGGTGACGTCACGAAACATTCGGACCATGACGTCGCTATCATTCGGCCAAACTTGTGTCCAACTCCAGCCATTCCCCAGCCCTCCTCCTAATTCATCAAAATAAGAACCAACCAAGGCCCCAAGGCCTTATATTTATGGACCGGCCCCAGCATTCCACCACTATCAAAGTCACCCTCCAAGTGCTAGGTTACAGAGAGCCAACCCCAGTTTCTGACTTTGACAACCCCTAGAAACAGTCAGAGACAATGATGACCCTGTTAGAGGACATTGGGGGGGGGGAGGGGCAGGGGTTGGGGGGGGAGGGCTTGGGATCCTACCCTCCATGATCCAAGGCACTTGCAGCCACTGTCCCAGCGGTGCCCATGGAACGGCTCGCCGGCAGGGAACCTCGCAAGGGCACGAAGCAAGGGGATCAACCCCTTGCTGAAGAAAAAAAATACGGATTCAACAAATACATGGGGCTGGTTGCCTATACCTAAACACCAACCTGCGTCTCGGGATATGTTTGTTTGATGTTTTAACAACTTCTGCCCAACCCTGCCAGATACCCCCCACCCTCCCACGGCGCCCATGGGACAAAAACCTTGAAGATTGGCCTTCCACCATGTTTGGTGGAAGGGCAATACTTGGTTGCTGGTGACCCCCCTGCAAAAAGTTCAACTTTGTGGGAGTCTAGTGGAAAACACCTTTATTTCCCAACAAGTTAAAGTCTAAAGATCCAACCCAATAGCAGTCAAGAATAGTGAGTAACAATTCAATGACATAGCACGGTGAAATGGGTTCAGTTAACACACCAATCGGGAGATTTGGCGGGACCTGGTTGGGCTAACTGATTGTTACAAACTATAGAACGGGGAGGTGGGTTCTCTGTAACCAATATTGGGCATGATCATACGGCAATGAGTCATTGATTTTGTCCCTTCTGCGGCACATCTTGCTGCGCGATTTACTCCTGAAACATGCATGCTTCCAAAACAACTCCTCCCTCACTCGTTAGATCATCTTCAGAAAGCGACATTTCATCCTCTCAAGATTTGGGGGGGGGGGTCGGATTGAGGGATGTGCACCCTAGCATCCAGTGTTCTGAACCTAAGGCTTCTTAGGCTCTTTGGTCTCTTTACGGGTTTTAACTGACCAAGCCAATGGATAACTTCCAATACATCCACTCACCAAACTGAGAGAAAAGGCTTCGCCAAGAGAGGGCATGGCTATGATTCAGCTATGATTTGCACGGCCTTGAGCTAATTCATCCAATTCCCAAATCAGAAGAAAGTCAACGACAAGTCACGACCATGCTTAGCAACACCAGGGTGAAAGGGTGCTTTGACCTCGGCACAAACAAAATCCCGTGAACCCAGGTGGCAGTGTCATGGCCCTATGATCAAACAAGGCGAGCACGTGCATGGTAGACGTAGACGGCACATGTTGTTGTTGTTTTTTATTGTTTTTGTATCGTACCTATTTTTCGAAAGAGCAGTGCACCATCTACTTCCCCTTGGAGTGTGTTTAGAGGTGACATATCAGAACTGCCAATCCAGGGCTCCCCATCTTTCCCCTTGGAACATCAACCCAAAGAGCTCACTCCAAATCAACCAAAGGTTCTTGGTCAAGCAAATGGAGGTCCCCTGAAAAAAGTAGTATTTCCAGTAGTGATAGATTCCCTTAAACACCAACAGGGGGCAAATAGAACATATTCTTTTTTGGCCAATGGAAGATGGCTTTGATATCTACAGAACAGGTTAAACAAAAGGGTCACCAATGAACCCTGCCCAAAGCGCGCTTTTCTTGAGCCATGCGCAGCCGGTGTATCGAAACTGCGCTAGTGAGACACTCATGCATTTGGGGTTATCATGATTGATAAATACATCACGTTGCAAACTACACCCCGCGTGCCCGAACGTGAAACAGGAGGACAAATGAAAGGGATGAAACAACCAAAGAAACCCGAGCGGCATGAGGTCATTTTGCAGGATAGCACTCAAGTACGAGCAACAGCCAGTTAAGGTCTTCCGCCTCTGCTGACCATCGCTCTCGCGAGGCGTACTCATATCTGTACATTGATCTTCGGCCAACATAAAATGACAAGTATAATGAATAGTGAATTTGAAGTGTATTTGGATGTCAGCCGAAGACCCTTCAAATATTTGAAGTGGTTGCTCACCCATCGCCAGTCCCAATTGCGGGAGCTCTTCCACGGGCGCTGATCATCAGACCACCACGAGTCGCAGGACTGGCCCCAGCCTCCCCAGTACGATTGACTCCATTGCTGATCTTGCCATTGGCCACCGGTTTCCCGGAGCTGAGGGATGGGCTTGCGCGTCACCCCAACAACTGCAGGGAGAGGAGTGGCTCGACCAGGAATTTGGATGCCCGGGATCTCCTCCTCAACGAAACAAAGCAACTCCACTAGGACGGTTTCGGGATCGCCAATGGATGTGAAACTACGGTTCCAGCCCATAACCGGGTAGCGATCGTTCTTGTCCAAGCTCCCGTACAAGGCGGCGAATTGCTCGGTCTCAGGGAATCTGCCTCCGTGCACGACGTACACATCCTTGGGGTCGATCTCTTTGACGTCTTCACTCGGTGGCACCAGCGTTAGCCGTGCGGAGTACCTGGGCACGGCAACACTGCCCTGAATCGTCTCCTTCGTCCGCTCGAAGCTTGGGATGATACAGCGTGCAACCTTCTCGATGAACTCGAGAGCAGAAGCTGTATCATCCCAAGCCTCGAGCGGACGAAGGAGATGATTCAGGGCAGTGTTGCCGTGCCCAAGTACTCCGCACGGCTAACGCTGGTGCCACCGAGTGAAGACGTCAAAGAGATCGACCCCAAGGATGTGTACGTCGTGCACGGAGGCAGATTCCTTGAGACCGAGCAATTCGCCGCCTTGTACGGGAGCTTGGACAAGAACGATCGCTACCCGGTTATGGGCTGGAACCGTGATTTCACATCCGTTGGCGATCCCGAAGCCGTCCTGGTGGAGTTGCTTTGTTTCGTTGAGGAGGAGATCCCGGGCATCCAAATTCTTGGTTGACCGCCGTCGAATGATCGGGGTGAACGTTCGCAACATGTTGATTAAATTGTGTCATGGACTGTGGCATAGGGTTTCCCCTTGCGAGGTCGGCCTGGGGGTCATACATGACGATGTCACCATGCCGCTGCCGATCTGATCCAACAGGTGAAGGAGATCGAGCACCAGACCGCCCAGTCCTCCCACGGTCGCTCTGAGATCGAAGCGATTCGGGTCCCTGACTGCTCAAAGCTTGTCCCTTCCTGATGAGCTCCCTGGCCACTTGTGAATTCGCGCGACTAGTCGGTTCATATTGCGAGGCGTCCTCATCGCCCGCATGCTCATCAGGTGTGGGACGCACCTCGGTAGGAGGTAGTCCAGGATCGCCATCCATGGTGTACAACTCTGTACAAAGAGCCGCTTACGGCTGATAACCTATAGAACAGGTTAAACAACCAGGAAGGGTCACCAATGAACCCTGCCCAAAGCGCGCTTTTCTTGAGCCATGCGCAGCCGGTGTATCGAAGCTGCGCTAGTGAGACACTCATGCATTTGGGGTTATCATGGTTGATAAATACATCACGTTGCAAACTACAATATCGAAGCCGAGCAGCCAGCACTCGCCATCTGGATAGCTGGGCCTTGCCTTCACGGGACAGGGCACGGACTGGAATGGCACCTGCCGTCGGATTTTCCGGTGAATGAGACCCAGGCCTCGCCCAGTCACGCGGCGCGCAAGGGTTGGGACCCCCGCCGGTTTAAGCACTTGCAAGCGACACCTTTTGCCTTTTGGTTTACCTTGGTATCTCAGGGTCCCAGTTGGGTAGATGATGTGAAGGGGAAAAGGGAAACCCCTCAAAAAAAGGATTGAACAAAAGGAAGCAACCCACTGGATGCCTGGAGGGTCGAACTACTAGCTGGTATCAACAAATGTCGCACCCAGCTCTTCGCTGGTTTGAGGACGCGCCTTGTCACAAAAGCGGCACTGGATGTGGATCCCATCAGCGTTGCAGCCAAGCATGCCCCACTGGCAAAAGTCATCCTGCGAAGGCAACCCAAAACCAAAAAAAACATCGAACATTGACCCTACAAAAGGAAAGCAGCAGGAGAACCAGATTACCTTTTGATATTTAAGTGCGTTGTCCCCTTTCGCTTTTGACAAGAAAAAACACTCACATTATGGCCGGGCCTAAGAAAACCATGCAAGTCTCAGCAGCCAACGAAGGAAAATGATGATGGCAACAATACACAGAAGATGCGTATTGCTACGAACAGAGCGGATATTCAGATGTTCCCGGCGTCAATTGAAGTTCCATTGTTGCGAAGCAATGCTCTGAACTTGAAGGGGAAGCACCTAAAAAGTGGTTGGTGGACGATGCCCTAGCCCTGTCCAAAAAAGGGTTTCCAATTCAAAGTCCTGGGTTACGATTGAAGGTTTGCAGGGTCGCTCACTTGTAGCCAAGGCGCCCAATAGTAGGGATGCCAGGGCTCATGTGAGAAGTTGCAGGCGCTGGCCGGGCATGCGATGTCGGAGTAAATGCCCAGACCGCAGAATCTGCCAGGGTCAGCTGGGACAAAATCGTTTTAGCCCCGACAATCGCCTACCTTGCCGCCAATTCACATGGGACCCAAAAAACTAACAGTCATTCTGAGTCATTCTAAAAATTCCAGAGGCTCGATTTTTTAACAGTGTCCCGCAAAAGAAGGAGGACTCGCCGGAACCTGCACCCCACATGCTGGCCGTCCGCGAAGCAGCCCTTCATGCCTCAGCTTGAAGTGCAGGCAGAAAGTAAAGGGTTGCTGTAAGATAACAAATACCAACAACCAACAGGAAACCGACTTAACAACCAGGTTGAAACCAAAAGGACAAAAGGGAAACCAACAGAAAATCCTATACAAAAGTCGGATTTGGACAACTGAGCTGCCCATACGGCAGCGTTTATCCCAGAAGTATGGCGTCACCGGTGGGTTGCTGAAGCTGCAGACCCTCCTGGCGCTGGGAACGATGGCGTTGTTGGGGCACGCCACGCCTCGAGTGGGAAACGTCCGACAAGCTCGGGCACCTACATTCGGCAGAGGTACCTATTAGGCCCTTGATAACAGCCTGCACTAAGCATTATGCTTCACCAACCAGAAGTCAGGGACCTTTTAGCCAGCTCGCTTTACCCGGAAGCAAGCTACTCTCCTTTGGGGCCTCTGTAGTAGGCTGGTAGGTGTACCTAGAAAACCTAACAACAACTGCCAACACAACACTCCAACAATACCACCTCGACCATGTAGGGCAGCAAAACAGCAAGCAAGAAAGCAACAAAACAAACCAACAAACAAAACACAAGGTACAACAACACAAACCACACACAACAGCAGAGAACACAAAGTCGCCTCCCCGAATAAAAAACGGTCTTCCTAGAAGATAAAGGCTTTCCAACATCCAACGTTGCCAATAGGCCAATTCCAAACCAATACCGACTAAACTACCGGCTCCACCGCTGACCCCAAGTTCTAGGGAGAGGGGGGCCATAATGTATCTGACCTGGCGACAGAAGAGGACCAGCAATCCCAAGGGGACGCGATTTGTGTTTATAGATTTATTTATTTTGGGGGGGGAGGAGCATAAAAAAGAAACCATAGCCATCATCGCCATTGTCGTCATCGGCATCGTCGTCACCATCATCGGCATCGTCATCACCAGTGGTGAAACTAGGGAGCCTAGAAATATCGAATCAACAACTTTGACCTACCTACCAACTGGTGGCGACTGAACACCTGAAATCCTCTGAGGTTTTGCCGAAATCTGCAACCTCTTGCTCAGGGAAAAAGGAAGGACACCGTTTCCTCGCAGACTTCACGCACAACCCGCCTGTGTTCAAAGAAAAAACATCCAGGAATAGTGGAAAAAGGGAGCCACTGGGCAACAAGAACGATTTGGATTGTCTCAAAATAGTGGACGGCCCTAGTTGTGCGGGTTTTATTTAGTTCCCATCCAAAAAGGATACCCTGGATAAAGACACACCTAAGTGAACGGCGTGCCACCCATTTGCCAGGCTGCCTGTGTACGGCCTCTCCCCGCAGAAGCGACATTGAGAATGTACACCGTCTGCCCAGCAGCCCAATTCCTCGCAGCTGCCCGTGTTGATGTGAGCCCTTCTAAGGGCCAATGGGAAGGACGCAAAGCAACGGTGGAGCCGGTGAACGATGGCAAAATGAAGCCCCATGATCAAATGCATGCCAAAAATCGGGGAACCTTAGGTGGGGGGTCCTAGGGGTGCCTGGCTAAGCCCCGAATACGGCTTTATGAGAGGCTTGTCATGGGCTGATCCTGGCATGGACCCCCACGAGCCCCCTGAAAAGACAATCGTTCCCGGAAAAATGCAGCATGTATAGACTCAACACATCCTGGGGTCCAAGTCAGGGGGGGGTATCCGTGGAACAGCCTTCCAGGATGAGCCAAGCCCTTTAATTGTGCAGCGGGCCAATCAGGCCATGGAAACCCAACCAACAACTTACAGGTTTGTTTCCTTCCGACAAAAATGCTAACAAATGCAACCAGAAGGGGAACCCAAGGAAACCCTTCTCCACACCATCTGGAAATAAAATTCATGTAGGACCTGACTGAAAAGAAGACTGCAACTGCTCCAGCCGGAGGGCCGAACTCCCAACAACGTCGTCTCATTGGTCCAAAAGCCAAAAAACTAGGGGTTGATCCCTATTCTTTTTAACCATCGTTCTTTTCAAAAACCAGCTGTTTTCCCTGGGTGTTTGATGGTTTCCTGAAAAGAAGCATCCCTGGAAAGAATGGGGAAGGTAGCCCTAGAAAAAAACAACTGGGTATGTGCCATAAAATAGCAAGATCCCGGATCTGTGTCGTTCTGCTTGTCTGTGCTTCCAACCCCCGAAGGAAATGCCAGCCTCGTGGGTTGCCAGAGTCAGGTCAATTTGCTTTGAGCAAGCCATCTATGGCATTGCTCTCGGGAACGGCTTTTCTTTCCACCTGTGTCAACAAAACCTCTGGCCGCGTTGTTGCTTCTTCCTTCCCATGGTGTTTTCTTTCCCTGAGCAAAGGGCCTAACCTTTTGTAGTTTTGATGGAAAGCTAAATTTCTTTCCACAAGGTCTAAGGGGCCCAGGGCACACCAAAGCCCAGCCAAGCACGCTCCTGGTTGTTCAACTTGCAGCTCTCATCCCAGAAATATGGAAGCGCAGGAGGATGTTGGAAGACCTCAGCCGACACTGCATGTCTCAACATGCGAGGGACCCCCCAAAAGGTGTCCGTTTGATTTCTCCCTGTACCAGAACCCCACAAACTAGGCACTCACCAAGAAAAATCAAACATGCGGGCCAAATGCGGAAGGGAGGGTCATGCGAAGCCACCACAGACATCGCACGACAGGCCTGCCCCAGTTGCGACCAGTGACTGGTTCGGTGAACCACTTCGGTTTGTGTTGACATCCCCCCACTCTCCTCCAGGAAACACCTACCTGGGGCTCAACTTATGGAGAAGGCCTCCTTTATTTGGTGTACCCCCGGCTCCGGGTGGCAAACCAACCCCCAAGCGCATTGCCAAGAGCCGAGGAAACGAACAGCCTGACGGGCCTGATAACTTAATTCAAGCAGCTGACTGGCCACACAAATCTGGGCACAAGAACTTTGGTTTCTCACAAGGGCCCTTCAAGCCTTCCCATTGCGCTCCCAAATCCCCAGCCCTTTCTGATTCTTACGGCAGCTGGAAATTTCCATCGGAGGGTTTGCGCGCACCAAACATGGTGAAAGGGGGAACCCTAGGGAAATTCGAAACCATTTGGATACTTGTACATGTTACAAGGGGGAACCCCAAACATGTGGAATTATTTTTGAGTTCTCTGTAAACCGACAAATCTAATCCCCCCAATTGGTGGTTTGGATTGGCAGTTCGGTTTGCAGGTAGGGGTTTTCCATTTGCACTCAACAAGAACCAGGGTTCAAGCCCGCCAGCCTCAAATCGGAACCACCAACTAAGGGATAGCTACCTGAGAAAGTGGCACCCTCAACACACACTACCGAAATGTACTCAGCCAGGCAGCACATCTCTCCGCAGGAGTGAAGCGATGTGGCACACCCCCTTGACTCGAGAGCCGCTTGTGTTTGAGCGAGACTGGTTCACACCAACCTGAAAACTAAAGAACGCAGCATATTGCTGATTTCCTTGCAGTTGCACATAATAAGCGCGGCCTTCAAGTTGGCTGGTTTCTTTGAGTTTGCCATAAGAGCAGCCCTCATATCCCTGTTTCAAGTGGCAAGGAACGCATGGAGGTACGTACGCAAGTTTGCGCCAGGGCTAGCTTACGCGATCACCCATGCCACTGCGCTTACACAACAAACGCACGCACACACACACAAACTACTTAAGCAGCCTTGTGCCGTCGCATGGTTGCCTTACCGGGTTTCGCAGCCACCCCCCCTCTCAACCGCAAGGCCAACTGGCCCTGAACTGGGCCTGGAAATAAAGAGTTAAACTTTTGGGTCACATTGCCTCAAACTGGGCAACTGTTTCATGAGCGATCCGCGCTTTTTGCGCTTGTGCGGCCATTTTGCACTTGCACATGATACTCACACCCGCTCACGCGCATCACGTCACAGCTGCATGTCAGAGACGCGCGCATGCTGGCACATGATAGGCACACCTGCTCCGCGCATCATGTGTTGCACGCAGGCTGGCGCATGACATGCACACCCGTTCACGCGCAGCACCGGAACTGAGCGAGACAAGGCTTGCGAAAACACTGTAGTGGCACCCAGAGCTTTCCAGTCCTGTTTGTCTCGCTGGCTGGGTGGATGGCCCAAAAAAAGTCCAAACTTTATATTTACCACTAAAATGGTCTTCCCAAAAAGTTTAAAGATCATGAACTCAGGAAGTTAGCATTGTTCCTTGACATATTTCCAGGGACGGGTCGGGGGCGAAGCCTTTGCCTCAAACAAGCATGAACAAGGTCATGCATGACAGGCCGGGCCCCTAAACCCCTGGAGCCCATTTTCTCTGGTTGGCAACTCGACTGGCCCGCTGACGGAAACAACAGAACAGGGGCCTTACCGACAAACTCTGGAACAAGACACATGCCAAACACACGCATAACATGTGCCAAGCGCTAGCTATACAGCACGCCCCCGCTGATGGACATGCACAGGCCTCAAGTGCGCACCACCCCATGTCTGTCGGGAGGGTAAGTGCCAAGCGGGCATGTCCAAACATGGTGGACCCACGTCTTAGGGTAAACAACTTAGCCCCTTTCAACCCAAGACGGTGTCTTAGAACCTTTTTAAGGAGTCTTAGAAAAGTTCTGAGAACCATTCTGGTTGGCAGGTCCCAGTCATTTCCCTGCGCTCCCCTCAGGCTTACAGCGCGTTAACCAGGCTTACTAACCACTTACCAAGTACAATGCCCCCATAAGAAGCAAGTAGCCAGTTTTCAGACGCCGTAAGCCGCCCCTGGAAAGTCCCAGCCTGACGGCGCAGCACCCGCCAGAGCCAGCAAGGCTAACACGCCGCGCGCCATGAGCTCAATCCCCCAAAGGAATCGAAGCGGGCGCAAGGCGAACTTCGCCCTTTAGGAGTTCTTGGCAAATCCCGTGTCCTACACTTGGGGGGAGCAGAGTTTTGTGCCTAATCAGGCCTTTGGAGGAAAACACCGCAGCGCGCACCTCAAATCGAGATGGTCAAATCAGGCGCCGGCCTGAGAGGCGGGATTTAAGCTGGACTTGAAATAAAGGCCTGGCAGAAATTAAAAGATTGGTCGTTGGAGACATGGGTCTTGATGAACGCGAATACCTGCTCTTGTTTGGGCCTTGAATTCTCCTATCCTAGTCCTACAACTTCAATGGCAGCAGTAGGCCGGTCAAGGTAAACCTCCAAGCACGCAGTCGAGAGTTGCAGAAGCAAAAGCCCACTAACTTCTTCAAAGGACCTGGAAGTAAGTGGCTATCGTTTGAGGCCAAGACAAAACAACAAGAAACACTTATTAAAATCAGCAGGTCAAAGGTTGACCTTGGACAAGTGGGCGCAACCAGAACCTGCACAACCGTGGCTGGCCCACTCGACTCAGCGTGTGCAACTTTGGGGGCCAGGATTGAGAGGCTGCAAAAAGTTTGCGCCTAAGCTGTGTTGGCTCTGAACAATTCCTGAAACTGACCTCCTGAGTGGACTGGTCAGGAAAAGTCCGAGCTTCTTAACTGAGCTTTTTGTGAAAAGTTTAAAGTCCAGGAACTCAGGAAGTGAGTTAGGGGTTGGTGACACGCTTTACCCTCGTTCGGTGGGCTGGTTCAGTAAGTGAGGAAAAGCAGTGGCGTAGAGACTGGTTCCCAAGGGGCCAGGCAAGGAAGGAAGAAATGCGGAAATGGGCTACAACATCTTTCCTCGCCATACGCCATGAAAACAACTGATCGCATACTTGCACCTGCCAGAAATGCAAATCTGGTGCTGCTTGCCAAGGCAGCACACCTCCGAGAGAACCCCCCGTTCATGAAGATGGGAGTCAACCACTTTGGCATCACAGAAGGTGGATATGGATGGGGAGCATGAAATTCGCCTCCCGCAAGGCCGGGAAGCTTCACACGGACGGACCGCCTAAAAACCTATAATCCCCTCTTTCCCATCAACTCTCGTCAAATCCCTGACCAAACAAACAGGTCAAATTGCCCTCTAGAAGCCAAACAGCCGGTCAAACTCCTTACATCTTCGCTTGGCCACAGTCCACTGCCCTTCTGTGGCTCCCTACCCTTGAAGCCATGTCGAAACGAGCGAACATGCACCCACCTTCTATCTTGGAAACCATCTCGCGCATTTCGGTGCTGACTCACGCACTCAAACGAAGACAACACTTCGAGGCAAACCAAAACAGAGTACCTCAAAGCCAGCATGATGCGGAAGGGGGGGTTGAAGATGCATTCTTTGGGGAACTTTTTCACGCCGACCCTTCCAAATGCGGCCATTTCCCAACCACATGTCCAGCGCCATGTCGAAACGACACGGTTCAATCTGAACGACGCATTCTTCCCGCCTGAGAAAT